GGCAGCTTTGACTCACAATGTAAGTAAATAATAGTTCTGCTTCGTGCAAATCGACCGGCTTCCCTTTATTTGAACATTTGTTATAAAGTTAATACAGTCTATTTAGGGTAAGCTAGCTAAATAATTCTTTGATACCACATTCCAGTTTTGAATAAGGTTTTATTTATTATGCCAATATAATTTTATGTCAATATATAATATTTCAATCAAATTTATATTACGTATAATTAGAGTTTTTAATAATATATAAAAAATATATATTTCTTATGTATAAAGAAGAAGATAATTAACCATTAAGTATATTTTGCCGTGCAATTATATAATTATTAAAAAAAACTGTTACATAAACCGTAACATTAGTACGAGGTCTCGCCGTCGACGTTAAAACTGTGAGTTTGGAAGTTACTATTCTTAATTATAGGATATATTCGTATTGTCTTAAAATTATTAATGGAATAAACTGGAACTGCAGGTGTGTAAACTATAATTTGACGATTCAAATTCATACTAAGGGAAACTTTATTGATCTTTCGTTGTTGTCCTCACTAGTTAAAGTGGTAGTACCACATCGTGTTTTGTTACAGAAATCGATGTTTAATTGCCGTGCAATTTGTATCAAAATACATACTATTTTATGTATATAAAATCTTTACTTTGATATCATGAAAATATACATTTAATAAATACTTTTACACAGTAGATGTAATAAAAATGTATAAACTATTATTATTTAATACATTTTTATCTTCTATTAATCCCACACGTAATACAAAACATATCTTTTTATAAAGAGATCTGAGATTTAAATGAAACTATACCTTTTTTAATTTCTAGTGTAAATCTTTAAAATCATAGTCAAAGGTCAAAAAACGTTTTATTAGCAGGATACAATAATGAGTTCTGAAGATATTTGTAGATAAAACAATCTTGATAATTTATTAACCAAATAAAGTTCGTTTTTTATGACGATCATAAATGTTAACTGGACTAACTAGACTGTATTATAGATAACTAAACTACAGATGTCATATTTGACAGAATAATAAGTTTACAACATAATTTCAGAACGATATAAGGATTGAATTTACATATCTAAGTAAACCTACGAGTTCATTTTGACCTCTTTTCTCTGTCAACTGTTTCTAAACTGTTATTTTATATATAATATAGAGATTCTATGTTCTCGTATAGATACAGGATAGATTTTTAAGGCTATTTTTTTCACATATTTTTTAAATCAAGCATTTCAATGTTATTATTACGTTTAAGTACAGTATTTTATTAATATTAAATAACTAGATACTTTTTGGTTTAAAATAATCATTTTTTTTTAAGTTTCAACCTTTACATAATCCTTTTATGTAATTGAAATTGTGATACAGCGTATTACATAGTGAATTGGCTTCCATAATTACTGTTGTACGTGAGTAGTTTGTGTTAACATTAAATAGATTAAATTCCATACATTATAATGTTCTCATTTATCTATAACCTTACTATCAGCTGAGCTGTCAAACTATACAGTTTCCTGTTTTTCAGTAATGTTCCATATTAAGTCTCATCTGCGAAGATTTATAAAATAAAAATTCTAAACTACCAAAAGTGATAACTCTATTTTATCTATGATCTCACTTGTTTATATCGGCTTATAAATGCTTTTAAATTATTTTTTCTTTTTTTTTAAATTCGATTTTCAAATTATAAAGTATTTTTCATTTTTTTAAAATAATTAATCGAAGTAAAAAGTATCTACTAAAAATGTAATCATAGAATCAATTGACGATCTTTTTTATTCTATACATGGAATTATTTTTTAAAAATACTTTTAAATACATCCGTTTTTTATATTTTTATAAAACAAAACTTTTAAATTCTGTACTCAAAGTGATATAATTCTCTATATTGTACGTAGTATAATATAATTAAGGAAGTCGTGCATTTATTTTGAAAGTAGGAGTTTGCAAAATTTAAATTTTAAGTAATAAATTTGCATACAATTATTGTGGAAAGGTTTGATTCCAAACCTAGATCTATTAGTATCCAATATTCTGGTGACTTCTCACTAGTAATAAGGCCATTTAGTACGATGTAAATCAAATATTTTTCAGTATATTTTACAAACATAATCAATATTATATTTTTCTAAGAGTGACCTGCAGTTTTCTCTTAGACGTCAATTTATCAAAACAATTTAATGGCTTCTTTAAGTAATATAATGGAGCGTTAGTAATGAATCAGCGTATTAATTATGATGTTTCTTAAACATTTCTAAGGGAATTCGTGAAAGTATGTCTTAATTTTAGCTGTAAGTAGGTACATGGCTCCATCAAAGCTCTAACGATCGTGTACGCGGGAATGGTCTAATCTCGTTAGCATTCCACAAGCGACCTGCCAACTCCGAGCTCTTTACTGCTTATCATCAAGGCTAGATTTTAATCAGTCTTTAATTCCACGTTTTATTTCAGATGATAATTCCACTGATGTTTGTAATCTTTAATTAGGATAGTGACGAAACTAAGTAATTCCCAAAGAGGGTTGATGTCAGGCAGGCGGCCGGTCATAAAAACAATTACCCAAAACTATTCACAAAATGTAAGCAGACCCTGGCTAAAGCTGGGAAATTGAATAGAAGAAGAATTAGGATAGTGACGAAACCATCCAAGATTGCAATGTCTTTGAGAGAAATTGTTTCAGTAGTTTATATTAAAAATAACCCAGATACTATAAATATATAATAACAGGAAATGTCAGTCTGAAATAGAAAAACCTGACGTGAAAATTTAAAAAGCTCGACCGACCTTTTCTCTTTACAAATTATATTAGCCTGAAAACGTAGAGCTACTTCTGAAAGTAATAGAATTTGGTAGATTAGAGCCGAAAAAGAGAAACTTAAATTTTAGTATTAACGTTTTAAAATACATTAAGAGGTTCTATATTTCATGTTAATCGTTTTAGGGTAAGTTTAATTATAATGTTTTTGTAAATTTATCGATCAGTAACATAATAAAATAAGGAAGTTAAATGACTTTTATGAAATAACATCCGGTACATGACTAAATTCCCGCCATATTTATAAGAGTTAATGAAATCCAACATGTTTATTTTTTCATTTCACTTTCAAGTCTTCAGTTTTTGTTTATCTGCAGACGGAATATGGCGGTCTGTCATGTATTTTTAATGGATTTCGTTTATTAGGAAAATTATTCTTATTTAAAAAATCAATTGAAGTTACATTAAATTCTTAAATTTTTCAACTTTCTGAGGTAAAATTTATAACGATAGTACGATAAAATTATTATGGCCAATTACAATTAAAATCTGACACTACAGTCTCTTTTTAATATTTTTTGTTTCTAATATGTAATATGTATCTGCCATACTATTTTTAATTTAATGACCAATTTGCCGTCCTTTGTCGCTTATATATACTCGTACATATATATGGCCATACTCATATTTTTAGCAGATACTTGCGACTACAGAGATTAAAAAAAATATTGTTTCATTATTTTAAATAATCTTACTCTTATAAGACGAAATAAAACAATATAATTGAAACGAAATATATGAGGACATATTTTATAAGCGTCAACTCGGAATCACTTAATATATTATGTACTTATCGAGCCCTCGAGCAATGACGCAGATGAGATAACTTTAACATTAAAAACATCGTTAGACACCTGATAACGTGGAATTGGTGTGGCAAATAGTTATCACCTCTTATCAGACTATTAAACAGATAATATAACAATCTCAGTTTAGACAGAGAATAATCGATGCAGCGAATCTATTGCAAACTCTTTTCACAATCTGTCATATGTCAAAGTTGCCGCCTTAACTTAAGTTGCTGTCATAGATTAACAGATTATCATATTTAATACAATATTATTCAAGTCATATTGAACTTGGCAAATGTTTAAGATAAGGCCCATGTAATATTTTAACAGCACAGCAAAGAGAAATGTTTCGTAAAATGAAGTAGTGCTGTACTAGGGATTATTGGCTGTATTACATAACTATTCAGAGATAGTATCGGAAATTTCTGCCAAAAAATAAAGATATTTTGTATGTTACAGCCATGACCTATTTATGAAAAGTCAAGACGGATTATTATCTAAAGTGCAGAAAGTGCCAGAATATACGTAACGTAGCTATTACAGAGAAAAGAGTAAAGTTATATAATACATATAATATTATGAAGAAATTACTAGTTTTTAATTTAAATAAGCTCTGTGTTAATTGACTTTAAGTAGCAGTGTATATTAACCTTAATTTTAAGTCCTAATTACGTTCCTTTATACGCATTGAATGAATTTTTGTAATTGGGGTAATGGTGTTTCCGTAAAATAGATCTGGAAGCAATTTAATTCAAAGGGATCTGACCTTCGAATTTCGGACGTTTTAATATACACTTATACTTATCTGGTAATTAATTGAATATTATCGAATTAATTGGTTTGCAAGAGAGGAACTTCACGATAAAGTGCCAATGTATATTAGCTATATACTTCAATTTTATTACATTGTTGATACTAGACTCTTTCATTCTTTGTTGTATATATAGGCCTTTGTTTAAGACACAACAATAATTAAATGAACTTCATGTAGTCTACAGATCACGATACTAATATAAACCTACACGAACGTGGTTCGTCATTAGTTGAACTTATCGTAAGTTTAAACTTAGAAATTCTGTAGCTTCCATTGAAAAACTGTTTTACCAAATAAGCAACATTTGAAATATCTTTACATTAATTGAAAAATGTTATCACCGACTCACCCCGAAACGATAAAATCCATTTTTATTACACCGGGAGCGGCCCCGAGTGAAAATTCGACTACAACCTTAAATTCACATTACAACAAAAATTGAAAAAAAGATTAAGTGTATGGAAATCATAAATAATGAATCCTTAAACTTCCTTTATTTCATATAATACAGTTGAGTCATCAAGCAATAAATAAGTAGAAGCGTCAGTCACAAATAATGCCTTTATATGCACCACATTTTGTCTGAACTCTGTGCGCCCCAGTTCAGCAAGTTGGCACCAGGGGCTGGCAGTCCCCCAGGCGCCCACGTCGACCCCAGTATAATTCTACAACGTCACCTGTTCTGTGCTATAGAGGTGATGCACTTCTTACTAATGCGTGTCACAGCGGTGACTATCGCGACACTTATAATAGATATAATTATCCCGCTCTTACATCCAAGAAACCATTAGTAACATTATTAATATAACACTCGCTAAAAATAAAACATTACATTTAATAAAGATTGATTTGATTGTGTCCCAACAAATGTTATTTCCGTGTAAGGACAACAAAGGAATATAAATTGGGTACGCCAAAAGTAACGCATTTTTGACGTGCCGCTACATTTTCTCACGATTATAATGTTTCCGTAAATAAATCATATGAAGCTTTATTTTTATTATATTTTGGGAATAATTTGAGGTGTAACCTTTAATAATAGAAACTGATTACTAAACTCTAAAGCAATTTAATGAGATACTTTGAGGAACAATTCCATTTGCAATTATTTGGCTGTTTGCCAGTGGTTTACTTCCGAGGGACTTTGTTTGCTATCGTGTGATCCGTGAGGGCTGAATATTTTCGGCTTGTTATTGTCCTTGTAATGTTTTTCATGTATTTAGTGAAGTCCCTATTTCAGTTACGGCCTTGGTTCTTGTTATTTACTTTCTTATAGATCATTAGTCTACATTCAGAAGAAATAATACGAGGCTTTGTCAATTAATTGTAGCAATGTATCTTTATTTATATGTTGTTAAAGATAAGCCATATGTAGTTTGTATTTTATTATACTGATTACGTATATTTCGAGTGATTGTTTGATATGAAACATTATATTGTTTAGTTCCTGGGTATTCATATATTTTAGCCTATAAGGTTGGTAAATATTTTTTCCTTATAATACTCATTACTATACTTATTTTTTGTCACACCAAAAGAATCTTAGCTAGAACGTTCGGATTATATCTTTAATCCACTTAAGCAAATTGCTTTACGCTTTATAATGTTAGCGCCCCGGCAGACAGTAATTAGGCAACGTGAAAAAAAAAATGATCTTCGAGAATATTAGGTATATCTCTTGAATTTAGTATAAGGTAATAAATATAAGCGTTTTCTTAAAATATTACACTCTATATAAAGCTGTATCTGGCTGAAATTCAATTTAAAGACAAATTTATTTGTTTTATATCAAATTGTCCTAAATTTTAACCCAAATAATTACGTGCACAAATTACGAGTGTTGTACGTTCGTTTGTCTGCCATATTGTGTGTGTTTTCAGAATCTATATTTACAATGATTTGATGTGTATTTCTTTCGTTTTAAGTGGTCGCTCTCCGATTTATTGACTGTGAGACTACAGATTCGATGTTTAAATTTGGAATACAAAATATATGGGCAGTAATAATCGATGATCAAAAATAATATGTTAAAATAATACCATTGTTTGATTTCAATTTGAAGATTATATTAAAGCTTAAATTCCTTTTTGGCTTTTGTGTAATTAAAGTTTGTTTCTATGAGGCAACACTTCTTAGCATTTCATGGATTCACTGTATGGGTGCCGGGTCCATCGTTGTAGGGAGAGGAGCTCTGTCAGTGCCTGGAATTTGCGACCCAGGAGTAGGTTTAGGGGGCCCCCTATATAACGCATGTCAAAGCTCCTCTCTCTACTTAACCAAATTTGAAACGAACCTTTTATAGTAAGGTTTTAATTAAGTTTTAACCAAAACCTTAAAAGAAAAATACTTTTTAAATAATTTAATTATAAAATACGAAAGTAAGTCAGCGGAATTCATGTAGGTTTACGTAAACCTTATGACGTACTTATTAGGTTTTTCTAAGGTAAATCCGAATACAGGTAAAATAATCTCTTAATATTTTATGAATTAAATATTTTTCTAAGGACATTTTCATTAATGTTTATTTTCTCTATTAGGTATTATCTATTCTTTATCTTTCTCTTTTAAGTATTGGCATTTACTAAACTTGATTTAGTCTTAAACAATATGTTTTGTTGTTTATTAATGAGGACCTACGGGGCCATATAAAGTACGTCCTTACTTCACGATAAACTTACCCACAGTTTACATCTCCACAATATGCGGAACCTTAATAGTAGTTCATTCATAAATCTTCATACTTTATACTATCAAGGTAGGTTATTGAATGAGAAACGGGAAAAGCTTCATATGTAATGTAATAACGTAAAACTTGTGGTAATAGTCTAGACTCAGTTTTCTATAGTTGATAAAATTATCCTTAGAATTTATTTTCATTTTCAACGAACAGTTTAACCATTTTAAATTTGTTTCGTGTATATAAAGAATGAAATTAATATAAATTATGTTACAAATATTGTTTTTATTACCGAAATAGTACAGTAAAATGTCTAATTTAAATCACTTTTTAGTTATGTAAAAAAGTTGATATTAACTTAGCACGTCGATCTAATTGGAGGTAAGGCGATTAGATTCAAAACGATAAAGCATTTTACAACACAAAGCTATACCGGACAAACAACCGTTATGTTCCTTAAATACGGGATAATTATCATGTGTATAACAATAAATGTTGCTAATTTGAGTTAGTAGTGTACACGGCGGTAAAAGCGATAAATCCTCATTAATGAGCCACATCCGTCCGATGCTTTCGAGTACATTTTTAGTTTTTCTGCTCTAAGAAAATAAACACAATAGAAATTATAACGGCACAAATCATTTTAATGCTCAATCGTATCATATTACTTTACTTTTATCAATGACACGTTAAAATTAAAGTATTTATATCGTCAGTAACAAACTGTTTATAGTATTCATAAAACTATAAAGAAACACAGTTTCAGTTAGCTGAGAGTTTAATTGAATCATTTATTTTTAGACGACAGAGTTATGACAGGCATCATGTTTTTAAAACCGACGCCAGATGAGACGTCGTTCAACGATTTAAACATCAATTTATAGGTCAAAACACGTATTTAAATATATTTTAATTAAATAAACAATAATATTTCAGACCACTCCGGCCTTCTGGAAATAAATATGATTGTCAAGGTTATTTTCCTACGTCCGATACGTAAGATGAATACATTTTGAGTGATGCTATCATTCTTTTTGGAACTTATAGGAAATAGTGAAAAGCTTTCCGAGATGATAGCGTATTGATTGATATTAAGATTTGATAGCACATTGATGTAAGCTTACAGACGTGCAACGCTTAAGATCTTATAAAAATTTCTGAGGAATAGTTCATAACTTCTACAAAAGATTTGACATATGTACGCGTATTGATGCGGAAGACTGAAAATGACGCTTAATAACCTTATGATGAACCTTTTGGTTATTATCTAGTTAAAATTTTATATTTTAATAAAGAAATAAAGGAAGAAAGTGCATGTTTTGTATTATAATTTACATAGAAACATACGAAAATATGTTTCGAACGTCGTTAAAAGTAGAGTTCGACCTAAAAAATATACTGCAGTTCGGCTTGTATTGCTACGGCATGTGTTTGTATGTCTTTACAATCTACTATCATATTTTTATGTTTTGTGAAACCATGCCTTTGATTTTAGCTTTGTCATTTTAATTACTTAATCCGACATTTCAGTAACTTCGTATTGATTAATATTAACAATAACGAAACATAAATTTCTAATTAAATTCAGGAAAATTTAAAAGCACCATGCACGTATTAATTAAGAGATTAAAAGGAACAATTTTTTAGAGACAACTACAGAGACTTTTATTTCGTTTTTGTTTTCATAATTGGCAAATGTAACCCAAGTTTTAAGGGTACGAATTATCCCCAAAGTAAACAGTAGAGGGGTTGATGTAACATGCTATTATTTTCCTAATAGCGTACTCAATCATAAATCAAGACCATTCAAAGACAAAAGCCTCCATGGATAGGATGCATTAAACTCACACAGTTCATCTCATTAAGCGTTGTACGAGCACCTCTTAACTTGGAGAAGAGAAGTTTCAGGTATAAAGGGCATTAAAAGTTCTTCGTGTACTTTGAAGGACGTTCCACTGTATTCGGGACAAGGACGGAGCATGTTTCATAAAATAAGATTATTTAAGATAGGCATATAGTGCAATTCTTATAAGTAATATTTTATTTGGTATTTAAGAAGTATTTCATGCTTGTAATTTAGCATTAAATCATATCGTTTTACGAGTAAACGGAAGAGTGAATAACTCAATGGAACAGTTCCCTGTAGCGACTCTGATTTAAGATTAGTTGCGAGTTATGTCTGTGTATACTTATACCAAATACCGCTTCATCTAATACAGACTACAGTTAAATTAGTCTGCTTATATTAAGGAATTATTAAATGCATTCGTATTTATAGAGATTATAGATCTTCAAAACCATCGGGTTATTTTATATATAACTCTATTTCCATGTGTTATTTAGTAATTTTAATTAAGTCTAAAACATAAAATTATCATTTCTTCATACTGATTGTTGTTGAGCTTGGAACTACTTGAATAAATCGAAAAATCCCGAGAACATTCAAATAAGTATATTAATATAAATGTATGTCTGGAAATTGGTGAATAATCTTATAAACTTATAATATTTAGTTCGAGTAAATTATGCACAATATACTTTTTAAAAACAAAAAATAAAAGTAGGTATTCTTATATATTTTATGTCTAGATAATCTGTCACTGATATTTTTAAAACTGTTTTGAAGTTTAGGCTGAAAAATTATAATTAAAAAGTTTGTTATAGTATTAAGTTCATAAAGAAACCGTCAGAATATTGATGTTCTTTTCCTTTATAATCATTATTAAAAACTGTGCTTTTATAACTTGCTAGGACATTGTAAGAGAACTTTATATAGGTCGTTGTGGGTTATTGATTAGAGGCGTCAACGAGACCTAGTGTCTATTTTGGATTTGCCCCATTTTTCGATCTTGTCTTTTCTATACTAAATGTATAGATGTCCTAATATCTAGTATTGGCACCTACCATAAACCTTTTTTCGTTTTTTGAATTAAATGCGGCAGTTTCTTGATAATTTTTAATATCATGACCATTTAAATCAACCCACTCTAGATAAAAAAATATAATATATATAGAAGGCAAGGTATATAAGGTTATAAGTACTCGTAATAAAAGAGATTACCTTCCTTTACCAACAAAACCCATTGTAGCAAAAGATCCTTTGTTGGTATATTC